TGCACTGTTCGTCGTCGACCCACCCCGACAACATCAAAGGTCAACGTATCCGACCTCTTTTGACTCGATCAAAGCTGGATTTTGTACCGGTACCCGTGTCGTGTCGTGTCGGCATAGGTACGCCGGTGGTAGGTGACGAGTCCAGGTAACATAGCTTCATGTGCCTCCATTGTTACTCATGCTCAGGTAAGCTCTAGACTTTCATGTATGGTTTGCTGGCTCGCGAATTCTTATAGTCGGCTTCCTGTGTCGCGGTGATGGTGGTGTGGGTGTGTTTTGTCCGGTGGGTGGTGCCTCGGTTGTTCGACGACGTTGGTTTCGAGCAACCGGAGCTCCGCTGTGTTTTTCTGGCCTTCTTCTTCTCTTCTCCGGTGTTTTGGTTAGGGTGGACCGGTGCTCTGTCTTCCGGCTAGTGGTGTTGGCCGAGGTGGGGCAGTGGTGGGTGGAGAGCCGTGGCGGCTTTGGGCGGTTGGGGATGTGGCTACAGTCTCGACATCTTTCGTGTTTCGGGTGTTCTCCGGGCGTGGTTGGACTCGCTATTGGTGTTATCGGGTCTGGTCATGTGTTGGTCTTGAGGCATCTTGGTGTGGAGGTTATGGTTCGAGTATGATTTCGGGTGTTGTTCTAGGGCTAGGTTTTCAACTTCGTAAGGCCACCGAGTTGGTATTGTGCAGTTTCGGGTTAGTCCTGTTTGGCTGTTGGACTCACTCTAGGTCGGTTTGGTATCCACTGGCGTTGCTTGGTTCAGCTGCTTAGGAAGGGCTAGTTGTATTTTGTTTAGTGTATTTTTTGTTTAGTTTTTCTATTGTTATTTTGTTCGTTTGGTGTCGTTTGTGTCTGTGTTTGTTATTGTATTTGTGTTTTAGGTTTGGCCCGTTGGCCTCGGTTAGCCCGAGTATGACCTTATTATCCTGCCGGGATCGCACACTCGGGTATTACCCTGTTGGGGTTGTTTTTTCTCTTTCTCCTCTTGGGAGTTGTTAGTGTCATTGTGGTTTTGTGTTGTTAGCGTTTTACCCTGTTGAGGTCGGTTCTAGGCAGTCTTTGACTTGTCCGCCCATCTTATTCGGTTGTTGGTTGTCTGTATTCAGCTGGTGGCTGTACTTTTGCACATTTGTGCTCCTTTATATAATATCCCTATCGTTCCGAAAAAAAAAAAAATGCCATGAACTTAATCCCTTCAACAATCAAGATTTTTCTAATTTGCATTATAAGGATTTATAGTTTATTTAGCATATATTGCAATGAAAATATATTTTACAATGATTTCATTGTAGAAATAAATCAAAATAAAAAAATGGTAAAAAAACTATCATGGTTGCCAATAATATACAAATGAATTCTAAATAACAGTTAATATATTTCAATTTTAATTTTTGACCATTAATAAAACTATTTGTTGTATCTGGTCATTATCTATTAAATGTTAAATTATATTAATTTGAATAATAATTTATTTTTTTATATATAACGAAATAAAGCTTAAGAAATAGTTATATTGACAAAGATTAATTTACCAACTTGATTTCGCCTGATTAATTAGAAGAAAAAATTCTACTCAACATGTTACGATTTTTATAAATTATTTGTGGAGTGAATATTTGTGAAAAAAAATAATATTATAGTTAGAACTTAAAATATGTTGTAATATTTATTTTGACCAAAATATTATCAACACGAATCACGAAAAATCAATCTTGCAATTTATTAAAATGGATAAATACAATTATTGCAGGTGTTAATAAAATCATTTATGGAAGCAATATTTTTGATCATATAAGATTTGATCTTATTTGAAAAAGTGTATATAAAGCAATTAATGCATATATTTTAAAATTTTCCAAAAAAAGGCATGCATTAAATGCTCCAAATTTTTTTACTACTATTTTTAGTAAATTGTTATTCTTATTATATATCGATATATAGATTTAAAATATAATTGTTTATATTTTTCATATTTCATCTCATTAAGGAAATAAAATAAATACAAACAATAAAAAATATATATTATTAAACACTTCTCTTTACACAATACTTTTTATTTAAAGAATAATATTAAACCTTGCAGTATTGAATTTTTTTTAAAAAAAAAATCAATTATTTAATCAATTATTGTTAATGTAAAAAATAATGAAAAGAATCAAGACTTTAAAATAAAACTATTTTTTATAAAAAAAAATTACACATCAAAATCATCTAATTTTTATAAGCATTTTCATATTTCAATTTCAATATTACTTCATACCAAATTATTCAATGATCAACCGTTAGTCAAATTACTGATCAAATTAGAAGAGAAATCTAAATATTATCATATATCAACTTTTTTCTTTCTTATGTAATTTTTTATCAAAAAATTAATAGAAAACCCTATTCCCATCGTATATTTAATTTTATATAATCAAATTCAATCTAATTAAAGCAACAATTTAAAATTATTATAAATCAACCTCAATATAGTTAAAGTAACAAATTAGACAACATAACATTTGAAATTGGGTTGAAAATCTCGACTTACGTCATTCCATCATAAACCAATAAACCAGCACATAATCCCAAGAAAAATTATTTTCTAGAAGAACACTATCAAGAAGTATTACACATGACAGACAAAATACATAGTGCAAGGTCACACACTAGGAATATGGAAAATTCTAAACAACGTGTAAAATTCTTGGGTGAACTAGTTACCGTCAACAAGCCAACATGTTCAATGCACGAGAACAATCAAATATTTCCACTCTGTAAAAGATCAACATCACTGCGTGACTGCGTGATGCAGAATTGGGGAAGAAAACGGTGGAGCCAATTAGAGACGAGCGTCGGTGTCCTTTTCCCCGGTGTGGAGAGGGACGACGTTCTTCTCGCAATTCCGGCCAAGCGAGAGGATGTAGGAGATTGAGGTGGAAATTAGGAGAGAATTGGAGAAAGATGACCATACATTCAAATCCCAGTAAGAACATATTTAGTAGTTGGTTATTCACTATTATTTTATATTAAATTTTATTATATTTTTTGGGTCAAGTGTCACTTGAACAATTTCCTTTGGAGGAATTTACACCCTATACTATAATATATATTTTATATTACATATTTACAGTCAAGTAATATCTATTTGTAAAGATACAAAATCAGCCCAACATATTACACATATACCTGATTTTATAAGTTATTAATTATAATTTAAATATGGAATTGAATCAGTTATTACTTAATTGAGATAATTAATGCCTTTTTCTTTTTTTTTTTCCTTTTTCTTTTCCTTCCCCGTTTTCTTTTCTTCTGCAACTCCTCCCACAACCACTCCCTCGCTTCTTCTGCCTTGTTTCTTCCAAACTCCTCTCGTTCAAACAAACACTAGAAGGATAGTAATCTTTTATACTTAAAATTTTATTTTATATTAAATTTGTATATATCCCTTTTGCTTGTTTCTAGCTATCGATTCCCCGCCATCGAGTCGAACCCATCGATGAGATAAAGCTCTAAACCACCCTTTCTCACAGCCCCTTCATCGTATCGGCTTTCACCAGGCCTGAATTTATAACAACTGATTCAAAGGATAAAGTGGACGGACGCTAGCGGTGGTTCGCGACGGTTGCAAGCCTCGCGTGTTCAGGCTCATGGGATACGTTGGTAATCCTAGGCGATCCGAGAATCGTTCTCCACGGAGTCGCCGAGGGAGAAGAAAAATATCTTCCGGAGGATGATTTCCTCAATTACCGCCGACATAAGACTGTTTCAGCGTCGCCATGATCTGGGGAGATGATTGGTTGGTCGCAGACAAATTGAATTTTGTTTCGATTTTTTATGGATATTGGACTGTGTGTAGATCAGTTAGTACTTTGATTCGCAGACTTTGGATTGTAGTATATGTACAGTATATCTACGGTATATGTACAATATATCTTCACGGTAGTATATGCTGCGTGTATAGACAAGAAATATATGTGCAGTATATGTACATAATACATGTTTTTATCTTTCTCTATTTTTTTACGATCAGTATATGTATAGTATATATATGTACATAATCTTTTATGGAATACATGTTTTCATTGCAACATATACTGAATATATACTAACATAAACGCAATATATACCCACCTGCACAAGTGTGTGAGTTATTTTAGGCATTAATATAGATAAATATGGTCTTTTTGTTGTGTATATGTGTGATTTATTTTATAAAAAATTTGTTTACACAACATAAAAGTAAAATAAACAATACGTAAACTCAACATATACTAAAAAATATCCAAAAATTGATTTAAAACAAGCATAAATTGTCTTTTTTTTTTATATATCTATAATTTATATTCAGTATATTTTCGGTATATGTATGGTTTATATTTAGTAAAATCATGGAATATACAAACAATACACATACGAAACATTTTAGTATGATTTATTTTATGTATATATTAAATATATATTTAGGTTTTCATTTCATGTACAT